TTGTATAAAATGTATATATTACAAGGACAAAGATGCTTATACTTTTGTTTGTGTTGAATCCGAATGCAATTATTTCTTTATTTTGAATAGAAATCATAATGATTAATTGTCTTTGTTTTTTAGTATTTTTTGTACATCAAGATAGGTTGTTTTTCGTAATATATGAAAAAAGATGATGAGATACATTTATTTTAATAAAATTTTGTTCGCATTGTTTAAAAATTTCCATATTTCTTATTTTTATAAAAATCAATGCACTTTTATTAGCTAAAAATTCCTCTGGATGAGTTATTTTTTTTATAAAATGTGATTAATCTATGAATAATGATACATGTATTTAAACTTTTTGTGTGAAAAATAAGAATGCAATTATTTCTTTTTTTAAATGGAAATCAAACACCGTCATTGTCTTTTAGTAATTATTGAACATCAGGATAGGTTGTTTTTGTAAGATATGATGAATATCAGAGAACTGATACTAAAGTTTTGTTCGCATTGTTTAAAATTGCCATATTCCTTCTTTTTATGAAAAATTTTGCACTGTTATTTGCAATCAGTCCTTTTGAATACCTTTTGATAAGTTATTTTAAATAAAATGTGAATAATGCAAGGATAAAGATGCTTATACTTTTGTTTGTGTTGAATACGAATTCAATTATTTCTTTATTTTGAATAGAAATCATAAACTGCCTTTGTTTTTTAGTACTGTTAGTACATCAGGATAGGTTGTTTTTCATAGAATATGATAAATAAATGAGATAAGTGACAAAAATTTATAAAAATCAATGCACTTTTCAATCAGTCTTTCTGGTAATTTTAAAAGCCCCATGAATAAGTTATTTTATGTGAATGATAAAGGACATACTCAGGAAAGTTATAATTATATCTCATTTCCGCGATATTCGTCACAGGAAAGGTTAACACAAAGAACATATTTTAATAGAAAACTGATAAAAAAAAATTAAAAATAACCTCAATTGAAAACTGAAAAAAAAATGTTGTACAGCGTATATTTTTGCATTTCTTAAATTAAATAAATTAAAAATTTTCGTGCTCAAAAGTTATGCATCCTAAAAAGTTACAAAAGCTCAAAGTTAATTCCAAAATTTTCTTGGTAACGTATATAAATATAAAGAATTATATAAAAAGTGCCTAGAAAATCAACCTAACAATGTTAGAATAGATCTGATTCTTTACTCCCCCCTAAACGTGGCTGGAACCTGTATTTTTTACTTTCAACTTCTACGGCAACACCACAAAGCATTGCGCAGACGCCTTATTCCCTCCTCTAACTATTAAAGCTAATAAACTTCAGCTATCTTTTCGGGAGGTGTTACCTTCTCGTATGCATTAAACAAGGACGGCTAATCACAATATACGAAGTATTTTTAACTTTACTTAAGGAATGACTGTAATATTTTTTCTGTCTACGAAGAAATAACATCAAAAATGTGGTGCACACTGAATAACCCAGAAGACGCGTTACATCCAAAATTAAATTATATATAAATAATATATATATAAATATATCGACACAACGACATTTGTAAAAAAAGGGGTCATGACGACTGGCCTTCACACAAAGAAAACTGACAAGCACCAATTTCTCTCACCGAAAACTTGTCACCCGAAACACTGCTCCAGGAGCATTCCTTACAGTCAAGCCATCAGACTTAAGCGAATTTGCTGCTAGGAATCCAAACTCAACAACCGTTTGGGACAACTCAGAAAACAACTTAAGTCCGGAGGATACAAAACCAAAAATATCACAGAAGCTTTCGATAAAGCCCAAGAAAAATCGAAAGATCCTCATGGAATACAAAATTAAGACGACCCGCACAGATAGAATTCCGTTTGTTGTCACCTTCCATCCCGATCTGACAAATATTTCATCTACTGTTCGGAAGCACTGGCGTTTTATTGCAAATGACTCTTCCTTAAAAGAAATTTCCCATCACCTCCTATTATTGCTTATCGCAGACTCAAAAATCTCAAAGATATACTTGTTACATCTAAAGTAAAAAAAAAAACCAAGACACCTCTAAAATCGGTGTAACAAACAATTCGGAAGAAGAAATTGTAAGTGCTGTAAAGTCGCCAACACTGAACACTCTTTCACTAGCACAGTAACAAAGCAGCGATACAACATCTAATTGTAAAATGGATAATAGTACTTACATTCGTATATGTGGAAATTTCAAGCAGCAATATGTTGGCGAAACAGACACTTAATTCAACTTAAGACTTAATATACCTTATCGCTATTTATTCCATTCCGGATAAGTTCTGAAATTACACAACTCTTTCAAATCAGTTGAAGCTATCTGGGGCCCTGTTTAAACAATGTACTATGTATAAAATTTTTCAAAGAGTTATGTTTAAACCATTGTAAACACTTCAAACAAAGCATTTTTCTTACTTTAATTTCTGTTTAAAAAATTGGATCATAAACCATACAAATTTCAAAATGTTCACTTCCTACACGTTTTCCTCCCTCAGCTCATTACAGATGACCCTTTTTTTTGCGACAGTTGACCAAAACAGGAAGTTGTCTAACTGACAGTTTTTTTTTTCGAAATGGAAAAAAGCGATAATGTAAAATTGAGAATGGAAATGGGGAATATGTCGAAGAGACAACAACCCGACCAAAGAGCAGACAACCACCAATGGGTCTTCAACGCAGCCAGAAAATCCCGCACCCGGAGGTGGTCCTCAGCTGGCCCCTAAATAAAATTGTGTACTAGTTCAGTGAAAATGGACGTCACACTAAACTCCAAAACATATAAATGAACTAAAATTAAAAAACATACCAGACTAACAAAGGCCAGAGGCTCCTGACTTGGACAGGCGTGTATAATTCCCGGTCATTTTATACCAAAGGAAGAAACTGCCCAATCACAAGACACTTCTTAAGAACAGGACATACGTTTGAAAATATCGCTTTTCAAATAATAGAGGTCAACCAAAATTGGGACACCACAAGTAGAAAACAGAGAGAGATTTTGGATGCATCAGCTACGTACTCTTGAACCTGATGAACTGAATGAGAGAGGTGAAAAACAGTTTTATCAAAAACCGAAGGAATGAATTTTGAACGTCATACTATTTAACTAACACAACTATTTGTTTTGATCTATTAAACGCAATGTACAATAAGCTGCAAAAATATATTTAAAGGACATGTGCGATAAGCTGCAAAAATTTCTCAACAGCTTCCGAATTTACCTGGATGGCTGCAGGCGCTTGATGAAGCTAATTTGTTTAGCGAAGTATTGCGTGAATATATAAAATATGACAACTATTATTACAACACTCATTAGCGTGTTAAAGTTACATGTTCTTTAACCCTGCTGACTGCCATGGCGATTGCCAAATTAACGGATCACCAGATGTAACAAAATGGATCTTAATTATTAATTTAATACCAAACAGAAAACAATAAACTTGCGGAAAAGATGGTATACCGCAAACATGAGGTGCAAAAATTTGTACACCATATCCGGATTTCGACAATTAATGTCGTTTCAGTGATGTTAGGAATCGAAACGGTATTTGGAAGGCCATATAATTTACCTCAATTTAGGATTGACTCTTGAATTTTGAAGAGTTGAAATAGGATAAACGGATTATATAAACCCGAAGGCAAATATAATAAATTGAAAACAACGTTCAAACCTATGATTGCGTTGGAGCAAAACGCATTTGACTAGCAGGTCGAACAACTGATGTTCTTAAACCCTGCTGACTGCCATGGCGATATATATATGTATATCTGCCTATGTGTAGTGACAACTGTAAATTATACCTTCTCCGTCAGATTTCTTGTGATTAAGAAATACCAGTCGGTAGAATATTTATAAAGTGCTTTGAAACACAGTGCCGTGAAATGTTGATGATTATGTGAGGGTTTTTGATAAATCTTTTCACAAGATGATACCCGGTTTAGGAATACATGCTCCTGTAATATGCATGGCATCGTTCATTCACTTATATAAGGTATAAAGGTGTAAATCAACGGTACTTTATTCCGAGTTTTTTCTCCGATTTTCTCTTTCTATTGACGTTTTTATAAAATGGATGATCAAAGTTTTATATTTTCGCGACGATTTTTATTTGCGTTATTTATTCTACTCGCAAAAGTTGCGAAAATATTTACAGTATATGCACCTGAAGTTTTTTCCAAATTAATGAAGTGGTCTTAGAAGTGTGGAATGGTGAATGAATAAACACTTTAGTGATAACAGTTAAATTATAGACTTATGGCACTCTCCGTGTTTGGTGGGGTTCGTTTTACTCAGTTTGTTTTATTGTTTAGCATACTGGATTTTTGTGTGTCTTTTTACCCTTTTTTCGTTTTTACCATAATTGTATCGATCTCTCGCCGACTTTTGAGTTTTAATTTTTTATGTGGTATCATCCGTCTTTATTTTAAACAAATCTCAGAAAAAAAACTATGCATTGCTGTTTAGAAAATCCCAAACCATTCTGCTGGAAATAAAAAAACAAGGAAAACAATTTTCTTAGCTCCTCGAAATTATATTAATGATACTGAAATCCAGTTTGCTTTTTGGATAATTTTGCAAATATATGTAAAAAGTAAAAAGACACAAAGGGACAAACACAATTGATAAGTCAAATAAAAGCAGACAATACCATATGCATTGCTAAAAATAAAAACGACAAAAAGACAAAAAGACAAAAAGACAAAAACAGTTGACAAAACACTACATCGAAACTAAGAACTGAGCAACACAAACACTAACAAAAACAGGTGAGATCTTCTGTGTGGAATGGTAAGCAGATCCTGTTGCAATAGTGGCACGCGTGATGTTGCTTATGTTAAAGCTGTGAACTGAGACCATCAGTTACTATACTTGCCGCTTCTTTTTATGACCGAAATATTTAACAGGTATAAAAGGGTATATTAAATACCTTCTAAGTTGAGTGTAGAGAAATCTTTATTGCAATTTACTTAATGTACGTTTGCAATCTATTCAAAGGAATGGGCCAATGAAGGAGTTCCGATTACTACTACAAGTGATGAAGCAAGTAAAATGTTCGATGCAGTTTTATCTCAAGTAAGAATCACTAACATTTACTCTAATGCTATAAATCTTCTTTATTTATAATGGAAACAAAAGACTTCAACAAAGTCCTTTCCGATTTATTACAGGCGCATCCAGATCTTTTAGTCCTTTCCTATTTATTACAGGCTCATCAAGATCTTTTATCCCTTTCCGATTTATTACAGGCTCATCCAGATCTTTTTAAAATTCTTGCTTCTATCATCTCTATGATAAAATATGACATTCAATGTTGATGAGGTATACTCAATCAGCAGTGTCAATCAGATACAGATTCTTTAAAAGTGTTACAATTTTTCAATTATATAAAAACAAGATATTTTTCTGCACTCTACACTTACATTCCTCGTGATTAAACCATCGACTACATCTCATTAAAAAAAGTGCCTTTTCTACAAACATGATAATCACAGATACACATTTTTTTGTTTTAGTTCATAAAAAAAATAATACTTTGTTAAAAACCACACGGATTGTAATAACATGTACACCTAAGACAATGGTATATATTTGTTTATCTTCTTCATATCTGTCTAGTTTGGTGAATTGATATTTCAACAAAAAATCCAATTGGTACAACTTATGCATTCCAAATGGCTGACAAGTTTTCCTATAAACCCTTCTCAAAGACAAAGAGAAAAATCATATTGCAAAGTACTTTAATTTCTCGTTCAGATATATTGACGATGTCTTGTCACTCAATAACATCTATTCCAGCGAGTGCTTACATTTTATATATCCCAGTGAACTTGAAATTGAGATACTTTGAATCTGTTGGTAACACGTGAAAAAGTAGATATGCATGTATGTGCTTAACGTAAAGTGTTTTATCAGAAAAAGTATTGACAAAGCTGAATGAGTGATGGTCTGGGTTTCACTAATGTAGTTATAGTACCAAGACCAGATGTAACGCCAAACGATGTTTTTGCAAAAAAAATCAGGAACAAATGTGTAACAGATCCTGCCATCCAAACATAAGAAATAACAAAAATTGTCAAGTCCGTTGTTTGTGGGAATTTTAAGCAATTCATTAGAATGTATCTTAATTATAAAAACTCTTAAAATGCAAACATTAAAATTCAGTAATTACCATAGATTAAACTGCTCTGTTGTTCGATACTCACAATTGCTTAGTTTTTGTTGATATTTCATTATATAGAATAATTTCAGGCATTTTGTTAAATGTCTTTCAATTTTTTCCAGGCATTTTGTGAAATGCCTAAAAAAATTGTCAATATATCAAATGCCTAAATCTTTCACGCAGATATATAATTGGAGAAATCGACCACCATTTATTTTTTTTAAAAGCCAGAGGTCAATTACATGGGATCAATTAAGTATTCGGAATGTACGGCGTTAAAACCAACAATTAAAGCATTGTCATAACGGGGCATTTTATAGCAGACTATACGGTATGGGTTTTGCTCATTGTTGAAGGGCATACGGTGAACTCTAGTTGCTTAAAGCTACCGCATTTGGACTCTGGTGGGTATTGGCAGTCTTACCAAAATCTTATTATTTTATATTAAACAAATACACGCTATTTTATATATTTGTAACATTTATTCACTTTTAGTACGTGGGATGGTACGAAGACAGTTCACTAGGAGGAATAGAAAATAGTATAAATAAAATGGTTGACGCAGATCAAGACTTTGGTAAAGGATTGTAGGATTGTATTTATACGCTTTTATCTAGCACATACGACACAGACCCCTGTTTAATTGGAAGAATGTACACCATAACGCATGTTTTTGTTAGATCAGAATTTAATTTGAGTTGATATTAGGAAAAATTCTTAGCTGAAATAATACTATTCTTTCGACTGATGTTCATTGTAGAAGCCATATAACTAAGTTTGAGAGTGACGATAACTTGATTACATCACTTTTGCTATATTTTGGAACAAGAAAAACATATAAATTTGTGTATGTTTAGACAAAGAAAGAAAAATTAAAACAAGAACCAATCAAAACTAGCCGAAGGATAGAAAATACCATGACCAAAAGAAAAAAAGACAAAACAACAGAAAACAAAACTATACATCGAGCAATATAATTTCAAACAAAAACCGGAGATGACCCTCAGAATTTCCGGAAGGGTAAGAAATTCCTGCGCCACTATAACTAGCGCCAATAGTCGAGTTGATCATGCCATATAAACATTCGCTAAAGAAAAAAAAGACAGAAGATACGAAAGGTACAATCAATTCAAAGTAAAGCCATCAACACCGTGGCAAAAAATGGCAAACGACGAGCCTTCACTGATAGTCATGAACAAGGAAAGGAAGATGTCTAGATTGTGTTTCAAAACTGTGACATCCGTGGTCATCTGTGACACAAGTTTTCCGTTATAGTCTGTTTAACTTAAAAAAAAAACATAAAATTTGAAAGAAGTATTTAAAATTTTACAACAATAACACTTGGTTCGGTAACTTCAATATAAGCAATAATCCTCTTTTATGCGTGATTTGGTGCAATGCAAGAATATTGAAGAGTTAAAGAACTGAAAACGACCCCAAAAAAGTGCATACGCTTACTTATATAATTAGTAACATTAAGTCACGATCAGATGTTTATTTTTAAAAGATAAACGATTCTAAATGTTTACTTCATATAAATAAAAAAAAAGTTGATCCCGGAAAACTAAATATAAACAACTGAAAACAACCCAAAATACATGCATCCTCTTATTATAATTAATGACATTGTAGGGTGTTTTAATTGGTTTATAAATCAACTGGGCAAATATAGTATAAAAAAAATGAATATTTACATTTTTATCATAATAATGTAAACAGGCGATGTTTAAATTTTTCCCGTAGTTATGCTTAGAGACGTCGCAAGATACTGGTGTCACTTACCGTAACACGATTTTATTTTTAAGTAACGTTACATGTTACATGTACCAATACTTACTTGAGCATTTGTACTTTCAAATCTTGTGTAAATTTGAATCATAAATCTTGTTGAATGCAAGTTTTTTGGCTCTCAGAATATGCATGTAATGCATCAACGTACATTTTGTGTGAAAGGGACAGTTCTTTGGACAGCTATATAATTTTCATACAAATTTCATAACACGAGTTTCGTTTGAATTTTCAAAGTGAGAAAAAGTACAGTTAATAAAATTGAGAATGGAAATGGGGAATATGTCAAAGAGACAACAACCCGACCAAAGAACAGACAACAGCCGAAGGCCACCAATGGGTCTTTATCAATTTTATCCTTAAATCTGATATAACGTTAAATTTCACAACATTAACTAGTACTGATACGGGACATATTTCATGCGTCATCTGATTCCCATATTTTTCGACTAAAACCGATTTTGAAGGGAAAGCGAAAATTGCGTTATGAAGGTATTATGACGTCCATGAACGGGGGAAAAATATGCAATTTTGCAGAAAAAAGAATCCACTACACTAGTTTTATGTCAAACAACATCATGCAAAATGTTACGCGGGACAGGACACAAATTAAAAATTTTCGAGCTTTGGACTATTATTCCTCATTAATTTATCATCGCACTGCATAATACTTGTAATATTTAAAACAGAAAATAAATTAAGCTTTCTTTTCATAAATCGCATGCTAGCTGTACATTTTTATATTGATACTGAAACATGTTTTAGAATAGTTAGAGCACGTTATTTTTTCGAAGTAACACCAGTATCTTGAGCGTCACTTATAAAATTTGCTGCAATTAGTCTTAAACAAAAAAATTATCAAGACTTAGTCTTGGTTGATTTTATTTGTTCATTTGTTCATTTAACCGTTTATTATATTCTTAATTGTTTGTTATTTGATCTGAAAGTCTAGTTGTAAGTAGCGTGCGCACCTCAAGAGGAGAATGTGGCGGTTCGATTCTTCCAACAACTCCCCAAGCGGTCCGATGGTTATATTCCAAAGAAAACATTCTTTTTCTATCCAACATACCCTAATATTTTTAAAAGGAATTGAAATGTCGATATACTCATGCAAAGCCTACCAATAATATTAGATTTATTGTTAATATGTTCCCGGTCTGAATACGCATTAAATATCTGCCACTGAACATTAAGCAAGCAACAACCAATCAAGGAAAAGGTGTTAGAGTAGTTTAAGTATATTTTTTTTTCTCTTTTTGGACCACATAAGGATATTGTCTCCCGGGTTCGCATGATAACAATGACATATTTTAAATGATGTCACTATACTTTGAAGAAACCCGAAATACATATTTTTCTTTAATTCTGGACTAAGAGCAAATAAAAGAAACGTTGAAACCTTCTGCACCGACGACTATCAATATTTAACGTGACTTGTGATTAATCAAGTTTTAATCTTTCCATGGCACAAGTATATAATAAATATTTTGTATGTGTTTAGGACTGGAGGGGTTTGTTTCTCGGAATAGATTATTTTGTGGAACAATTATATTTTTTTGTAATAACAAACAAAATTAAGAAATTTTAGAATCACCGTTGTTTTAATTCATTTTAACAAGAAACAATTATCTGTTTCACTCACCTTCAGAAAGAATTTTTGTTAAGAAATCAAATCAAAGAATTTATCTTAAAAGCATCCCAGAAGATGAATGATGGATGTCTTCGAAGATTTTACTCATTTAGGGGACGATCATTTGATTTTCTGGGGAAGAGGGTTTGACATTTTTGCGAACGTTATATTAGTTTTCACCTGTCACTAGGTTGGTTGATGTTCATTTTAAAATTACATGTATTTACTGAAATTGTGGAGAAGAATATTCATTTTTATCCTATCGAAGGCAAGATTAGTTTTTAGATCTTACTAGGATAGCATATTCCTTTCAAAAATCCTCAGGACTGCCCTACCTCTTCTCCGAAAATCAAATGGAAGTATCCCGCCTGTTTTGCACGAATTTCTTTTCGCTTATAATTCTGAGCCGACAAGTATCAAAATTATGAAACCTACGACGCAATACACCTGTATAAATGGGCGGGTCCAGAAACTCATTTGCCGGTGAGGGCACAAATGCTTACAATTAAGTTATAGTTATTGAACAAGAAAATCTGTATATGTCATTTAATCTGCGTGGTTCGGCTAAGTCGTTCGGGTTTAAGGGTCATCACGACTGTGCAGATTAAATGACATTTATCGATTTCATTGGCCAATAACTGTTATAACACATGTTGCCATCACGTTTTCAAAATATACCAACGATATTCAATCCACGGCTCCTTTGAAAGTTCTCTTGTAAAGAAAGGGGAAAATACGCCATTAAGTATTTCAACGTTGGTAACTTTTAAATTAATAACATTTTTATATTCAGACTTTCTCCTTGATTGTAACACCATTTGGAGAAATGCTTTTTAATGACAGATCTTCGATTGTTTCTGTTAAATTTATCTTCAATATTCATATAAATTTGAGACGATTTAGAACTGACATATTTTGTAGACACCTATCTATTGTTGAAAAGTGTATGATGCCCTCTTGGTGTCCTTATGTTGTTTTTGTCGTTTGATTACTGTCTTATTGACGTATAACCCACATCTTCTTTGTTTCATACATTTTTATATCCGTTTTATGTACTTTTAAATCGGTTTATTACAAATCATAACTCAAAGGGCTATTGAGCATATTTTAATTGCTTTTCTTTCCCTCAACATTTCACTTTTCAATATACAACTGTATTCGGCAATTTATATTAAGGACATTTTTCATCTAAATGAAGCCTGATCGATCTGCAAATAATATTTTTTCCCTGTTTTTGGCACATACTTAAATTTATGTGATCTCAAAATAGTCACTAAAAAGGAATAAATATTTTTAAAAAAGCCGTTATGAATTCCATTGACGACAAAGACAAAATCTTTTTGTTCTAACGGTGCTATAATTTGGATAATGCACAGCAAAGGTGTGCATTAACTACCTCAGATATACTGCACAGTTCGAATGTACTCTTACCTACAACTAAGACATAGTTGAACAATTAACAACTTTGTACAAACTTCATTGTTTCGAAATATGAAATAAAATAAAAGTTTGTAACACAGTCAGGAACGGGAGAAAGACTCCTTCCTAAATCTGTGAACTTAATAAAAAGTGTTTGTACAAAGTAAATTTTTACTGTCCTAAAGTCAAACTAGATAAGTATGCCTTGTAATCTCTGAAAAAAAATGAAAGATTTAGAAAATCCAATTAAATTAAATTTGCTTTGAATTAGTTTTATGCTAAATGATATTGATTAAGGTTGTTTTTTTTTCAACATTTAGTCCTGTTCATGGCTTATTTCTGGACTAAATTTAAAGAGGAGCATATTTCAAGTCTGTGCCTAAACAATAAAAAAAATAAGTTGCAGACCAAATGACTACATTTAGATGCGACAGGTCTTCAAAATTGGTAGCGGAATACACTTGAAATATAAGGAAGGGTGTTAAAATAACAAAATAATATAACATTTTTTGTTTTTGTTTTACCTTGTCCAAGAAGTTTTATCACATCACTCCTCTGCACATATTTTTGACAGAAAGAAACGCTCTTAATCTATTCTCCATAACCCTTTGCGTAATGATTTGCCGTGAACCGATTTTGAACGGTACACCAAACGGAATTTAAACTATATGAATGAAACGAGATATGGGGTATACACCAATGAGACAGCAACTCAACAACAATTAATAACCGAAGGACATCTACAAGACAATAATCAGTTAGTTACAAAAGAGAGGTGTCTACACATCATGTTTAGCTCTAAATCGTCCCGAATCTTTTTAAAAACTGCGAAAAAATTTAAAAGAAACAATAAAAGATATGCCATTAAACCCCAATATCCAAATAAAGCTGCCGTTACAGAATAAACCCAAAAGTTTAGAAAAAAATCATAATTTATAAGTAACCAACATTATGTTTCTTTTAAAAGCGTATTTCCTGCTTTCTGTATGCAAGATAACTCTCCCATGAGCCGAGGATTGACAATGTCGTTTGCATACTAAATCATGTTTGCTGGAATTTTTTTTTTCCAAAACGTTCAAATAAATTGATGACGTCATGTGTTAAAACAGTTATTAACCAAACAAATCGGTATATGTTAGTTATACTGCACAATACAGTGATCCGTGAACCTGAACTCCTAACGTCATTCGGGTCAAGTAGGGTCACCTAAGCTGTGCAGAATAACTAGCAAATACCGAATAATTGTTCAATAACTAGAACTTCAAATGGTTATATGAAGGCTGTAGAAAGGCATTATGTAAACTTCAAAATCTTACCCCCTTTTAGAGAACTTCAATCTATAGAAATAATCATAGTGTGTCGTTGTTAGGTTAAAACTTCCATACATAGGTCGTCCGTTTGGCTCAGCGAGATGTATATATACGCACTGCAACAACCGGTCAAAATATTTCCCTGTATTTGTTTATAACTCACAGTGTTAAAATTTAAACGGTGTCATATCCTACTTTAAATTGAATATTAAAGAGTTTACATCATATACTTGATAGAAGGATATCTTAAACTGTTATATCTACTGATTTGTCCTTTATAAAGGTTAATAGGGAAGCACGCTTAGGTGATATCTCTATAACAGTATGTTAAAATATGGCCAAACCTCCTTCTACCATGTTTCCTAAAAACAAATGTGTTTCTTTCCGAAAATATCAAAAAGCCTGGGCCACAGGTCATTTATTCTTAATCTATAAAGTGAATGATGCATCTGATCCTTGTAACTATCGAGAAATCACAATTACCGATTCATTTTGAGAAGCTATTAATAAGATACGTGACACCCGTTTTTGCAAATTTTTAGATTGGTTGATTGATTGTTGGTTGCTTAAGGCCCAGTGGCAAATATTTCATGCATGTTCAGGACGATAATAAATTAACAATAAGTACATTTAGGTAGGTCCTGTAATAGGGAGCGTCTGGGATGAAGGTTGGGAAATTTAGACTGCCACATTAAAGCATATTTAAAGACAAATTACTAAATGGGTTACAACTTTCCTCGTGGTATGGATTTCCCAACCAAAAAAGAACATAAAATGTGACATTTGCTGTGTAGCTTCTACAAGCAATTATAACTTTAAATGTTTATACAAACAAATTCTGTATCAGTACTACGAGGATCAGTGAGGTATCCAAATGGACAACTGTGATAATAGAGATTTACGGAAAGTCTCGGTTACGACTATTGACTCCGACTCTGACAGCAAAAATTACAGTGGTTGTCTCAAAAGTTAATTCAGCGCTGCACTTAATTCATAAGGAGTCCATAAACGGAGCATGATATCGCTCCACCGAAAATAAGAATAAAAATTTGAATCCAGAGTTTTCGTAACAGCACATTTCAATCGGATATGTCGTCAAGCTCATGCACATGTATATGGAGCCAGATACGTTATTTTGAATGATTTTTTTTCCTGCATCTATAATGCCATAGTTAAATATAAATGTTTCTCTAATTCTTCGTCAATTTATCCCTTTCTGCACCCATTGTATAAAAAAAATTTAATCAACGTGTGGTTCGTTTGATCTCAGTTCTTCATTGGTTAAAATCCGATTATGACGTCGAATTTTCTTCCTTTCCTCTGAATTTCCTATTGTGACGGCATGAAAAAAGGCGACCATGCCTGATGACGTCACATAGAAAGAACACATCTTTTTGCAGATCATTCAAAAAGAAGGAATAAGTTTGCCTGCATATTGTTTGAAAATCATTAGAGAAACAGATTCCACCACCAAATCTCGTGTAATACGATATTTATTCACTCTCGACAGTTAAATTTTAAATATTTAAAACGCTCGGCGAGCCTCGCGTTTTAAATTTGAAAATTTAACTGTCTCGAGTGGATAAATATCGTATCACACTCGATGCAGTGGTAGAATCTATATTTATATACATATGTACATAAGCATATCCCGTTTTCTGATATAAACATTTTCCTGTTTTACAGATACGAAAATAAAGGGAACATCAAGGTTAGGTAGTAATCTTTATTTTAGATAAAGGGGAGGGGGTAAGAAAAAGAAATTTACAATAAAAAGGCAGTACACATGTATCAATAAAGTAACAAATCAAGGGACCAGTTCAAGTAAGAAAAAACGTCAGACTAGATATGTGTTGAAAAATAAAATGTAGGATGAAAGTTTTCTGCTAAGGCCCCCTGTCCCACAAAAAAAAACCAAAATAAACAACTAAAAGGTAGCTCCCTCCCTAAGTTAACAAGTGGTGTGGGAGAAGCGGAAACAAATAATCAGCGCTGACCATATTACTTGAAAATATGTGCCAACAAATTAAAAGCTGGAGCGGTCATTCTGAAAAAAGAAAATGGCAACCCAGGAAAATTTCTGCCAAGTTTGATTCGAGTCAACAGATGTAGATTTGAATTAAGGGGAGCCCAAAGGGACCTGATCCCCTTTTCTTGAAAATTTTATTAAAATAACGGAAATTTTTGGCAAAGTTTGGATCGTGCACCCCCTTTAAGAGCCAAAAAATGTAGCGGGCCTCCGTTTCTGGAAATTATGGATCCGCCACTGGTCAAATCATAGACTTAAAAATTGATATTTACTGCTTCTCCACTAAGCACGAAGCATGGTCGGCCCTGAGTCAGAATAATGTGTTAGGGTTGGTTGACATGTTTTACTGCGGACAGTTACCTTTTGAAATGGAACGCTAAAAATCGGTGTGTCGGTCTTGTACAATGCAAGGGCAAATATTCATTTCTAATTATGTTCCCTTTCCGGAATTTAGCTTGCCACTTTAAGTTTAACATCCAACCATCCATTCATCAATCCTTCATTCATTTTTGGACGAGAAGTTGAACGCTCAAAGGCTGCGATTGCAATTTTGAAATTTAAAATTAATTACATAAATTTTGTTGAAAAATATAATATATTCAATAAGACATATTCGAGTTTTTGACTTCAAAGTGCGCAATTTTACATGCAAATGGAAATAAAAGCGGAGACGCACCTTATTTGATTAAATAAATCGTTGTGTAAAATCTTGTTTTACTGTTATTTGGTTATTTTACCTTGAAAAGCTAATTTTTTAGTACTTTTTATTAAATTTTGAGACGACCCCCTTCATTTTACCTGTCAGAGTCGGTGTCAACAGTCGGTACCGATACTTTCCGTAAATGTCTAGTAGAGAGCCATATAACTATAGTACTTTTAATACAAATTTTGGTCCTAAAAGATATCTGATTCTATTACGATCTCCTGAGCGAAGGAAAAACTTCATTTTATTGCGTATTTCGCCACATAAACTTACAAGGTCGATTTCATGGCACTTCCCGAAAAAAACCACACAGAGTATGTCTCAGGTGCACCTTAAATACATTTGATGAAAAACCTTTTTTTAATTCATCTTTTTCAAATATACCTATTTTTTTAATTCTTTTTCTGATATTTTTCCATAAACCCAACATGCTGTTTATTGACAATTCATGCAGAACATTTTACAAAAATTATACCAATAAAGAATAATCTTTTTATTCGATTACAGAAATAGAATTGTAACGCATTTGATCAATGATTAGAGCAAGGTGTTTGCGAATAAAAAAAGTTAAATAGCTTTGACAAACGGCTGAAAAATCATGGTTGGGGTCTCGGCGAATAGCCATTAAACTAAGGATTACGCTTTTAAATAATAAAATACATAATAACAGAAATTGCTTACGCTTGGATTTTTCCTCCTCAGTATTGAGTTTTCTACATGTACACCTTGCATATTTTTATGAAGGTTCTTCAGTTTTGCATATATAAAAAATATAACACAGTTCGAATTCATGTATAATGCACTATTTTAAAAGTGCCCGTTTAACGGATACGTTAAGGTACTCGTTAATTATCGGGTTTAACGGAACATTTAACGGAGACGTTAACGGATGCGTTAATTAACGGAGGCTTTGTGAATATTAACGGGTCCGTTAGTTAACGGATGCTTTGTGAAAATGCTCCAAGATGTGTAACTGTTTCTTATAAAAAGATAAACTTGACACGATAAACGATGTATATATTTGCAGTTCTAGGTCACGTAATAAAAAATGGTATCAAGTTGTCAGGCCTTTCAACAAATATGGAATTAAATTCAGAGTTTAGAGAGACAATTAACTACATGCTGGATATAGCTAAGAAGCAAGCAATTTCAGACAGGGAAAAGAAGCATGTGTCTGCTGTAGCTTTATGGGCAGAAGGGTATTTTAATATAAACTTAATAAATGTATCATTATCAGACAACACATCTTTTCGCATAGGTATGTTTTCTCCCATTACATATATATATATATTAAAATATACTTTTTCAATTTTTGGTCTTTTGGAAAATGTTGTTTGTGCTGTATTTAGACCCCTCTAACAAGAAATTTGTTTTGCATGCACACGTATAAAAATTGCGGTTTTTATCCAACGCAATCATAGGTTTGAACGTTGTTTTCAATTTAGACTTCTTTATATATATATATATATATATATATATATATATATATATATATATGCAGGGCATGTTAGAAATATTAATCGAATAGTGCGTGTAGATCTGTATGTAGAGTTGAAGGGGCTCTTGGAAAGTCTTCACTTGGTGCTGTTCATATTTTTCCGTTTGTTTTTCAGATAGACTATCTGTCTTATCTCAGCCGTTTTAACATTACAATACTATAATTATATTTGTATGTTTGTGGTGGAGCTCTAGATAGCTAGAGGGGAGGTTTGTGCTCATGTATAACTGGTTCAACCCACCATATTATATTGTATATTTGTAGTGGAGCTCTAGATAGCTAGAGGGGAGGTTTGTGCTCATGTATAACTGGTTCAACCCACCATATTTTGTGCCTGTACAAAGTCAAACTCGTTGTCCGATTGATATATACACGATATAAATATGAATAGACAGACAAGCACGTGCAATCGTATAATGACTATTTTTCTAGGTCTGTTTAATTCCAAATCATAGATTATGAAAACGTGCACATCATTGTTTTACCTGACTGTATAACAGTGTAGAACGATTTTTGTGGACCGAATTCGTCAACAAAATGGTTCCTTGTGGTTGTTCTCTTGTTTCATTGTCAATGTTGAGATTCTTTCTTTTTAATAACTGAACACGATATGATCGTGCGCAGCCCGTTTCCAGATAAGTGTCAGAATAAAGGTCTAATGAATACGGATTCAAATGACTATCAAAGCCATGTTTTTGAGCTGATTTTGACAAAATGGTACCAAATTGACAGCTAAGAGTGATATATTATTTTAATATTCCCCTTTTAAAAATGTTTGAAACAAAACAAAAATCATATTTTATCTTATTTTCTAAATCGTAGCTAATGTCACTTTGATGTTTCAAACAAAATATTTTTGGAATATCGTTGTTACATGATTTTAATAGATTTACATTTGTTATTTTCTAAAAGAATCATTACTTTAGCTATAACATACTTTGTTGATTATCTTGTTTTTTAATAGATTCATGAACTATTGTTATTATAGCATATTCCAAAATTTATCCACAAACAAAATCTTTAAATCTGACGGATGCCACGTGTGGAGCAGGATATGGTTTTGGTATAAGTTTGAATATTCCTTTGGTATCTTCCGCCACTTCTGCCTGAGGAATTTGGAATCTTAGTTTTAGATAATTTCTTAATTTCTAGATAATACTAAACCACATTATATTATAAACATCATGATATAACATTGTGTAATGTTTTACCTTACTTCCGGTATATGTTTTACTCATCGTTAAATGCCGTAAGATGAAAAATAGTTGCTTACAACCACGTCATATAGTCTCTGGTGGACAGTTGTCTCATTGGCAATCATACCACATCTCCTTATGTTCATGTTGAGATACAATTAGATAAACTCGGGTATAAAACCACTGACCAAAAAAGCTATAATAATTACTTCAATGGCACAACTATATGGGTATTGTGTAATCCAAATGCTTAAACTGTGATAAAAAATGCTACATTGACTGTTTTTTTACTGCTCACTGGAATGTAAGAAATATATTTCCTCTTCTGTTAGGTCATAAAAAATATTTTTTGACATTGGAAATTAACACCAAAGACTTAGAAGTATTAGTCTTTGACTTGAAAAAAGATTAAGAGAATAATGATTTTTTTCTATTCAATCCTTTGTATCTGAAACAACGGGTTTTTTTTTTTGCTCATTACTTTCAGAATTTCAGAATTTCCTTCCTTCCTCGCACTTTTCTGTCCACTCCCTCGTCACTGTCTGTATGTCCCACGTTAGGGGCCTGTAACAGTTATTCAGAGGTTGTCGTTCAAACTTGGTTTTTGTCTGTCATATTTATTTTTGTATTCTTTTCTTTTATCATAACTTAGTTTTCTCGTTTGAATTGTTTCAAATTTTGTTATGTCGGGCCTATTGAAGCTGACTGTATGATATGGGTTTTACTCACTGTTAAAATCTATACGGCGACCTATTATAGTTGCTTGCATCATGTCATTTGGACCTGTGAAGTAATCTTAGAGTTGGGGTTTAGAAACATGACTGCACGTGACCGACAGTAAAACCCATTCTAAAGAAGGGCGACTGTTTAGTTTTGTGGATGAATGAATAAATGTACAGCCATGTCCGATGATAATAAGGAACATTGATTTAGATGCCCTGCAAAGAAAGTGTCGAGCTCTCTGAACGTTAATGAACCATTGCAACAACTCTTTGGGTGTACTATATATGTGGCTTGTTGCAAGTAAAACGTTCTGCCCTCAACTAAAATACCTTCATTTTCTACTGGCAGCTCATATTTCTACCTTTTTTCCGTCGACAACTTAGCAAAACCTACCTGATTAGTACCTATATATTATAACTGATCGTTTGTTTTTGTCCAGAAAAGGCATGAAATATTTATTACACCGGACGTTAAAGAAACAAAAATCAATCAATCAAAGTATTTCAAATTGTCCGTTTTTTATTTTCATGTTCCTTATCATTCAGGTAAGTTGAGTCCCCTAATGCACACTGTCTGAGAATTAACAATAAAGTTGCTCAATAGAAGAACTTACTCATTGCGTTTACTGAAATTGAAGTAAACAAAGATCAATCAATCAATCAAATAACAAATAACAACCAACAAGTTGTTTACAGTGAAAACACCATATCAATAAACAATACCATCTTTGAGACACTAGATGCGGCTTTCAAACTTAGAATAGCTCTTACATCTGTGCTTATGACAGACAAAAAAGCCAATTTTTTAAGTAAAATAAACATAGTAGCTTAAATCCGCTTCATTTGGACTTTGTTGGATAGTTGTCTCAATACCACATCTCCTTATGTTATATAGTCACGTTATCTTAGTGTAATGTGCATTCGATTTTCGTCCTTAAGATACTTAAAAAAGAAAGATAATTACTAAAAGCTTTTGATATATATATATATATATATATATATATATATATATATATATATTATACCTATATCGATTTTTTCAATTTCTTGTTGTTTTTTTTTATCATTTTCAGAAAACTAACACAGGCATGCAAAATTTGGGAGGACATACTGATTGAGACACCTACTGATATGTTGGCGCTGAAATTTGCCCATGATTGTTATTTCTGCTTGTCGTATCATCAACAAATGAGAGACTCTATAGCGCGTGTCTTACCTTTCTGGAACACATCACTACCTTTATACGGGTAAATACTACCATAGAAATAATACTGTTACATTGAATTCTTCTTATATACTGTTTTTTTTTTTAGCTTTTTTTGGGTTTGTTTTTGTTTTTTTTGTTTTTTTGTCGTTTCATTGACGTATACTCCATCTGCACTTATCAAACCAAACGAGGCGTATTAAAAAAAAATCAAAACGAGTCGTATTTAAAAAAAAAATCAAAACAAGTCGTTTTAAAAACAACCAAAATCATCTTTTAAGGTTTTCTATACGCACAATGTATACAAACAAAATACCTGACGATTAACTCAATGGTTACTGAAAGAGGAAAAGAACAAAATAGGACGAATTTTTCATTCTCATCTTCGTGTTTTGAAGGAACAAATATATGTGATCGCACAGAAGATGTGCACTACAGCAACATATATAACATTTACAAATAATTCATTCTAGATACATCTTAGGAATGCATGCTTTCGGTCTTGAGGAAACACATCTGTATGACGAAGCTGAAAAGCAGGCTAAAAAAGTATGTCAAGTTTTCTCTTTTAGTTAAATGCAGATATGATTATAAGAAATAGCATTCAGATTATATCTGTCAATTATTTGTTAAATATACAAAAAGTGGTTTGAAGAAAACCTTTAGTGTTGAAATATGTTTGATGTTCTTGATCAGGGGCACTAGTATCTAACCAAAAACTGATACTCCAAGTTGTGCGACTGACTGGCAGACTTGTAGTTTGTTCTTAGGTTGTGCTGTTACACTACTTTCCAAGGTCATTGGAGGGTTGGGCTCCCGCAAACATATTTAACCACGTTTGTTTTTCGTTTATTACATTTTACAAAAAAAAGGCTGTTAGTTTTTCCGTTTGAACTGTTTTACATTTATCGTGCTATGAGGTATGATTTTGCTCATTGTTGAGGGCCGTATGGTGACCTTTAGTTGCCAACTCCTACGTTATGTACGCCATGAGGTCTGGTGGAAACTTGTCTCATTGACAATTATACCACATCTCTTAATTTTTATATTGCACATGAAACAGAATCTATACAAAACAATTGAAAACAGAATAATGTAGACAAGGAGCAAGAATATTTAATGGAGTCCTTTATTTAAATTTGAGATGAGGTGATGATGACCTTCTACTTATTAATTGAAAATTGGGGATACAAGAGGAAAAATCTTCAAATCTAATTTTTTTTATGAAAAATTGACAACTGGTTTTGACACTTACTACTGAGTGTCATTTTGAAATCGTATGGCGGAAGATATGCTCACTGCTAAAAATAAGAAAGGTGGAAAATACCAGAAAAGGAGAATCAAAACTCGTGAGTCGAAAAGAGACTGACAAACCCATGAACAAGACGAAGAACAACAAAAAGAGAATCAACGGTCTACAAAACACTACAAAACTGGTGGTGATAGTAGGTGCTCCGGAAGGGTAAGCATATCCTGCTTCACATGTTCCATCCGTCGTGTTGCTCATTGTAAGTACAGTCCGGTGTAAAGTCTGAATAGAAGATGTCACAACCAAAGAAAAGTTAAATACGATTTAATATATTTTACTCCCATTTTTGTCTGTATTCCAACTGGATTTATACGATAGTCACTGAATGTTTGTACATTTCTTGAAGTCTTTTATCTTTATAAATATCAGTAAAAGCGAGGACAATTTACTAAGTTCTACAAATCAATTGTCGCCCCATTTTTTTTTTTTTTTTGTTGTTGTTAAAGATCATCTAATTATTTGGTGCATGGCGCAAATGTTTTTAATGAGTTAAATAGTGTCACTATACAAGTTGAATATAGAAGGACATTAGTACTTGGAAGAGCTCTTGAATCGGGTAACTGTTTACACTCCGGTAACATCCGGTTTGTATAATGTCTGGCTATGTAGGATTTGACAGTTGGATAGTGTAATTCTTTTTCTTATTAATAATGTTTGAAAATGTTGATTAAAAAAGCATGTTTGAAAACCAATTTAAATCCTTATATGAGACACTTACTGCCCTTTGTCTCTATTATAGGCTTTAGAAATAAATAAACATGATGGTTGGGCTACTCATGCTTTGTCACACGTTTATGAAATGACAGGACAGCATGTAAAAGGAATAAACTTCATGGCAAGTACTGAAAATGACTGGAAGGTAAGCATTCCTTAAAATAAAGAAAACATATCTGTTATCTCACGAAACAAGCTGTTTGTTACAAATGTAAACGGAAAAACATGCAAGGTTAGGCATTTTCTGTTCCTTTTCCGCATTTATGACATACATGTATGTCTATATAGCATGTCTCAGTTAATGTTCGGCACTTAACACTGATATGTGTTTTTGATGTAGAATATGTCTATATTGTTATTGCAGTTATTTATACAACATGATTCCGTGACCTATCGTCATATAAAACATAGAATATTTTTGAATTGATGTTCATACATAAATCTATTACTTTTTCAAATTAAATTCTTGAATGATTAACAACGTCTAATAAGAAAATTTAATTAAAAGTTACACATAGCAAAATAATCCCAAATCATATCACGAATTTGATATTCAGATGCAAATTCGTGAAATTTTGAGAATTGTGACTTACAAAAAGATTTCTTTTAATACTTGACAGGTTTGTGGATTGACAGCTTGTCATAACTACTGGCACTATGGACTTTATCATATCGAACAGGTACACAGTTTTGTCATATCTAAGTGTAAAAACACGGGGAGACACTGGTAGGAAATAAACGTTATTTATAAAAAAGCGAGAATTTATGATACGTGTAATAATGTGCAATTTTAGACTATTGATTGTTGATTGTTGACTGTTAACAGTTAGGTTCACTTAACTTGTGCACTTCAAAAAGATATCTTTCTGATATTCCCAGAATGAAAATGTTAATATCTAATAATATATGCAAATACAAAATACTATAACAAGGAAATCAAGTTCTATTTCCCTTAACTTTTCCAAAATTTGTAAAATGGATGATGTGAAATGTCATGATTCCTAGGAAAATTGGAAAGATTACTGTATACTGAGAAATTTTCGAATAATAAACACGCGGAGATTTAACTGCCCCTTTAATGGTATATAACGAAAACTCGAAAATAACCCGATATAAGGTACTAGTATATATTGTTGTCTGTCCATTAATTTGTCCGAAACAAACGAATTTTCTATGATAACATGTTTTCAACTTTACATTAACTATTTCTTACTCGATTATCAGCGCTCCTGCATTACCGAATGATGACCTTGAAATGTCAGAATTTGAAAGATTTTGAAACAAAAAGATTTTTAGATGAACACAAAAATGTTTCACTTCTAAGAGACTCTTCGCGAATGTTTTAATATTTATATCTAGTATCCCCAAAAATTCCCTTTGATACTTCAATGCAGGCTTTAATCATTGCTTTTCTGTCAATGTGCCGATTGCCGAAAACATCTTTTTTAACAACTTTTCACTTGTTAATTGTGAATTGGAAAAGAAGTGATATGGTTTATATGTACATGAAAAAAAAATTTTAGTGACACTTTCTGGGTGATTTTCCGTGTAAGTAACAGAGGTAAGAGACACGTATCACTCCAATAACATATACCCTAAAATGCACTTTCTCTGATTGGGAAGCATTAAAGTAGTATATCCTTCATTAGTAATATATTAGACATATTTCACATTCCAGAGCACTAATACTACTAGTTTATATATATGCTTATCATTTTATTTTTATTTTAAGTTAATTCATTTAATGTAAGTTTAATAATCAGGTGTAATTGTGTTAATTACTTTTTGGTTACTTGTGTTCAATAAAACTGTATCATATTATTCCTAGGGTAACTTCGAAGATGCTTTTCGACTTTTCGAAAAAGAGGTAAATATTTTAAATAGCATAATTACAAACCATTCTCATTTTCTATGTAACGTTTACATGTTCTGTGCAATAACATGGCGACAAACAGATTACTGTAAGGTTTGCTATTTAATGTAACTAAGAGATATTTTATTACTGTAACCTTAAAAGTAAAATTCTAAAGGAAAATGTGCGAACAGACCATTTTTTTGGGCCGATTGAATCCGAAATTTACAACGTATTATAATATCATATTCATAAAAAAAAAACATTGGTCTCTCAGATATATCATTGCAACTTTATTTTTGCGTTTTCCCCGGACCTTCATTTTATTGTATTTTAAAAACTGGAAAATATGCAAAAATTGTGATGAAGATGGTGATGATGGATGATGATGATGTCTGTTTATGTACGGCTGTTGGCAAATTAAATGAATATTCAGGAAGAGAACATGTTAATGTGATATGAATATTAACCCTGTTTTGTACTAGACCGAAATGCTTAGCATTTCAGTTTTATATACGAAATGCTTAGCCGGATTTTTAACGTGCTAGTCCACTGGAAGACATGTCACCCTACCCGGACACATTATGCTGATTCCGAGCCGACCAGTCTTTGCTCTTACTCCTTGATGCCGCGGGCTTAGCGGAGAAGCAACAAATATCAATTTTAGAGTCTTTGATTTAATTCGGCCAGGTTTCGTAACCACGACCTCCTGCACTTAAAGATCGTTCCACTTATACTAGTAGAAAGATATTTAGACACCTGCAGTTCATGCAAAGATGTTGATGCTAGTCAGTTTGAAGCATACTTGGGACCATAGTTTTTTGAGTTAACTAAATATAAAATGTTCATTTGTGGAAAAAAAATATGGTCAATTATGCATAGATATGTGTGTGTGTGTGTGTGTGTGTGTGTATGTGTATTCATGGTGACTAAAATATTCAGACTAATGTGTTCTCCTAGCAATATAATTAAATTGTGTTAGGATTGAGAATACAGATCATACTTGTTTTTAGGGACCTATGAATGCCTCTTGACATATCCCATCCTTCGAAGAGGAGCCCATAAGACCTTTAAATATTATGTTTTTAGAATTTCTTATTTTACAGTCAGTCCAGTCAAGTGATTTATTTGTGGAATGTAGATTATTCAAATTTGAAATCTAAACTTGTAATACTTTCAAATATTTAAATAAAATCGTGAAATCCTATCTGTTGATGTAAATGCTATCTGGGGATAGTTGTTTCATTGGCAATCATACCACATCTCTTATTCTTATATCACCAGTATTAATAAAAAAGACAAACAGTGAATTTTAATCAATTTGTACAGATAGGCAAAAGATCCCTCCAGTCCAAGTCAACCATGGAAATTGTTAATTCCGTGTCATTCCTGTACAGACTCAAATTCGAAGGTAAATTGATATACCATTTTCATTTCCATTTATTGACGTTTTGTATCATTATTTTTTTATTTTGTTCGAGATGGAGTGGAAGGTAGGTGATTCCATCAAAGTTTTTATTTCTGTAATCCGAAGAAGAAATAAAAACGGTTTAAAAGGGGAAGAAATTCATACTAAATATGGGAGAATGATCACCGCTTTTAGAACAAAAATATCTACAACAGGAAGCATTGCATTCGTTATTGATGTTTCTTTTTAAATACTTATAGTTTCACCTGTTATATCTTTTAAGAAAACAGTTGTCAAGTCCTTTGTTCTTTTTTTTTTATTTGTTTAATTGACACGATATACAAAAATAAAGGGTTTCCATGACAATGTATTTAAATCATACAGGAGTACCAGTAAAGGAAAAGATGTACGATTTCTATGAAGTTTGTAAAAACCATTTAGATGACCACGTAATGGGTTTCAACGATGCACATTATATGATGGCTTGCCTCGGAGTTGATGATACCAAATCTGCCAGGAATTTTGAAGATTCAATAAAAGAATTTATAAGGTAATATAATTGAAATGTCAATGAATCATCCAACAGAACATTTACAGATTATTTTAACCTCTACAAGTCACGTGGTTTTTGTTTTAACGGTTTGTCTTGTTGACATATACTCAACATCTCTTTTTGTTGACAAATGTACATTTACAAAACATTCTAGCACAAAACACATATACCAATAGAGCCAAGTTTCATGCATCTCAAATCCATTCCGTTTCTAAACGTATTTTCAAATATATTAAAATCGTCAGAACTTGCATACCATGTATAGAGTAAGGTGGAGTGATACTGCGTTGACCATATTTTATTTAAAAGACATCACACAATTTCGTTGGCAAACAAAACATCAAGGCAAAGTATAAATTAGTTTAAAATCATTCACTGCATTGTCGTCCAGATAAAACGATCCGTTCATAATAAATATTTAATTATCAATAGAAACGAAGATAATAAACTAAAAACCAAACCATTGAACACAATTATCATAATCTTGGTACGAAGCTGTGTGTATTGAAATGTGTTTGTATGTATTCTTATTTTTCTTTGCCATGTGTATAATATTATATAAATAACGCATAGCTGAGAGGGTGATAGAGCAGATTGTTACACCGAGAAAACATTGTCAACTGAGGCGAAACCAGGGTTGACAATGTCTTTTCGAGGGGTAACAATCTGCTCTATCACCCTCTCAGATATGTGTTATTTAATTTATTATACTGAATGTTCTGTTATTACTGTCGATTAAATTTCAAATTCAAAGTAATAAACTATGACGTCTTGTACATAACAACCATCCGTATTTAATAAAGCGCACACTTGATCAAGCGTCTCCGTGAAGGGTAATAGAGTATTTGCCATATGATAGAGTCGTATTTAATAAAGCGCACACTTGATCAAGCGTCTCCGTGAAGGGTAATAGAGTATTTACCATAGAATAGTCTCCCTCGTATTAACCAATCAAAATATGGCATTTTGACATGAAGTATAATAAATAAAGTTATGTTGTTGATCAGTGATGTCCCCTAATGAAAAGCTCTGTGTTAGATTTCGATTTGCCTCGCCAATGAGGAGATTCAAATTCATTCATAAGTTGGAGGCGACAATAGTTTACCGAGTTAACAACTGGTTAATCCCTCTGGAATATATATCTAAAACAAGTAAAAGAAAACTTGAGGGAAACTCTCAAATAACTGATTCAAAAGTATAAGAATATAAAGTATATAAAGTGTCAGATTAATCATTTCGTAGATTAGTATTGACAAAATATTATCTGTGTTTTCAGATGCGGGAATGGTGACACACGTGATGCCATGAACACCGTTGGTCTTGATCTGTGTGAAGCGTTTGCAGCCTACGAGGATCAACAGTTCAGTGCTGCTGTTAACATCATTTATCCAAAACGATATCAAATAGTCAAACTTGGTGGAAGCAATGCACAGGTACAATGTGAAATTGATACTTTCTAAAATATTTGTACATTTTGTATCTTCGTAAATAAAATTATCTATATTAATATAATTAGCAGAAGTTAGCAAACCAATTTCGTTGAATGCAAAACATTATATTTAAATCCAGAAGAATATTCGTTTTTTCATGGCAAATGTGACATGAATATTCAGGTCGATGACATTTGACCGACACACATAAACATTTTTATGATCAAGAACCTAGCTTTGTGTCTGAACGGATTTTTAGAAATTATTAAAAAAATAAATGAAGAGTGTGTATAACGTTATTAAGGGACATAACTCAAGAACGATAAAATTGACGCTACCCAAATTCGAACTTGATCTAAGTTTTGTGGTAATAAGCATTTTGTATAAGTGTCATAACATTTGGTTGAGACAAACATAAGTTAGAGAACGGAAACGAAAAATTCAGCATTTTTTCCATTTGTAAAGGGGAATAACTCTAGAACGGTAAAAGTGACGCCACCTAAATTCAAAACTTAATCAGTGTTTTGTGTTAATAAGCATTGTGTAAGAGTTTCATAACATTTGTTTGAGGCAAACTAAAGTTAGAGAACGGAAACCAATTTCGGTACGTACGGGTGGACGTACAGACGACCAAGGGGAACACTTAATGTCCCTCCGCTGTGGCGGCGTCATAAAAGAACAGTCGATGGGAATTGGAAAATACCTATAAAACAAAGAAGGCCAAGGCAATAAAACCATTTTTTTTTATTCAAATGTAATTCAAATGTTATAAGACAAGAAATTAAATATATTATTAACATTTAACAAAGCATTTTAAAAAGACAAAGGAACCAATAAATGTTTATGTGTTTTTAACAAGAAATAGCGACTGAGAACATAATAAATATATTTTCAGAGAGATGTTTTTAATTTGTTTATAATCCATGCTGCACTTAAATCAGATGACAAGAAACATCAAAATTTGGCCAGGTAGGATATAAGTACATATTTTATCATTTGATGCAGTTGTTTTCTACCACCCCAGGCTAAAGGAGCGCGTGAATTATTAACATATGAACATTAATTGCAGACCTGTTGTGGACATTAAGGCATTTCAGTTATATATACAAGTCCTTTGGAATATTCTGTTGTTCATTAATTTTGTTTTTATTTCGTTTTATCAAATTATATGCTGTATCATTTTTATATTTTACAAATATATATATTTACTAAAAATGTTTAATTTGTATAGCATATCATACCTTTCCTTACATCATTGTAGCTGGATTAATGTTAATAATATTTGTGATATTTTATTTTTCAATGTATATATTGTCTAGGCTTTGTCTTGAACAATTATATTCATTTCTAACTTTAATATTCGGCCATGATTAAGGAAAAAAGTAATTGCATGTATCGACAGTATATATTTGGTATGATAGATATCAAGAACTCGTGATAATAACAGAGCAGATACTGAAAAGGGAATATATTAATCTTTATTATATACTTAGTAGTAAATACAGATAAATTGTATGTGTAATAAAGTCAACGGCAACCGTGCTATATCAGCCAGCCGTGATGATATCGATATCAGTCACGGTTGCAAAGTCTTTTTCACACCTTTAATCTGTATAACGTCACGTCATCGATATCAGTCACTGTTGCAAAGACTTTATCTAACCCCTAATCTTTATAACGTCATGTCATATAAAAAAACGTCTACTTGAAGTATATAATAAAGTGTATATGATATGGCTTTTTCAATATCACACACCGTATCAACCCTCAACCAATATAATCCCTCGAGCAGAGATCTTGGGATTATATTGGTGTCTCGGGTTGATACGGATGTGATATTGAAAAAGCCATATGATATTCTCTATTTATAATTACTAATTAACAAAACTTCGAGGTGAATATAATTTTCGTCAATATCTGAAATTAAAGTACTTGTTGTACTTTTGTATTCTCGTTTACTATTACACACGGTTAAAAGTTACAAAGGAATAAATAAGGATTTGTATAATAAACGTGGGAATAACGTCATGTGAACAATGATAATAACCTCAACAATCGTTTTATTTTTTCAGGATGTTGATATCAGAAAGGGAATGTTTGAAGGCAAATTCACCCCTTACCACTAGACTAAAGGCAAAATTGTACAATACGTCATACTGACGTCTTTGAAAACTTTATTGTTGGTTGATCTATGATTTAACTTAGACGGTTATTCAATAAAATATTGTTCAGAGTCCTAAATAATGAATTTAAAGATTTTTCAGTTTGTTGATATTTTGTTTAAATAGTTCTTGAAAATGTTCAACATTTAATAAAAGAGCGTCTCACAAAAATATCATGATAAAACTGGTAACGTCACAGTACCCAAATTGCACCTAGTACCCAAATTGCACCTTTCAGCAAAAATAGCAGCGGAAATCTTACAAGTTTTCTTTGAGACTAAACAATTTGTATGTTTATGATTTGACATTATACACGTCTTTCAACATAGGTAAATATATTTAAAAATACACAAAACGTTCACAGTATATATCAACAGATGAAGTATTTACTGGAAAAAGTAAAATCTACGGAAACGTCGCCATGCGACGTCCACAAAATGTCATCTTTTAAAAATGAGCAAATAAAATATGTTACAAGCATTTATTTCATAAAAAATTAATACTAAGCATGGACTAATATCAAATTGTTCTAAATATTTGAAGAAATAAAACAAAACATCTGTTATTCCATTTTCAAGGATGTGAATTTAAGTATGGATGCAATTTGGATACTCCTCATTACAGAATCATGGATCGTTTGGAGGTCGGTTCAAACCTATTTTCCTATGATTCAATATGGATTCAAAATCAAATTGGTGTAACTATGTAGAAAACAAGGATACATCTACAAAATGAACACAGAATGGAAACTTTTGTCTGGATCATAAATAAACGCCCTTATGGAAAAATAAGGCTTCTTGCAAATATTTGCGGCAATGTTGCTGCAAATATTTGCGGCAATATTGCTGCAAATATTCATTTTTCGTATGCAAATTAGTTTTCTTGCAAACAGTTGCTGCAACATTGCCGCAACAAATTGCTGCAATATTGCGGCAAATGTTTGCGGGAAAATCAGTAGCTGTGATTGTTGCAGCAATATTGCGACAAATTCATTAGCTGCAATGTTGCAGCAATATTGCAGGAAAATTAATTTCTTGCAATATTGCAGCAACATTACAGCAAATCTTTCAACAATTTCAGTTGAAAAAATTAGGAATTGAAAACTAAGCATTTAAAAAAATATGATTTAATAATAAAAAAAAAATTTTCTCTGTCCTCTTTAGGTTGTCGTGTTACATCTGTGTATCTTTTAGTTTCGTTTGCCATTGTACTCGCTGTCCTTAAAGTTGAATTTACTGAAATAAAAGTTTAAGAATTTAGCATATAAAAAGAATACCTTACATTATAAAGATATAAAGTTACTACTATATATTGTAAATTCTGGACTTATAAAATGAAAATAACACTTTATAAAGAGATCTATAGAGCAATTTTTTCCTGCATTTGTTTCACTTAAAAAGGGTTAATGTCTAAAAGTTATCAAGTCCTTCTAGAAATTGCATGTTTTTCAAATTTCTGTATCTGCAACTGATATATATATAACTGTAGAATACATTTAACCTCATGCCAGTACTAGGTTGTTATTGCTTTTTTTAATATTTGTTTTTCATTGAACTATAACATAATTGGTCTTGTCTATTTTATAAAATTTTAATTTTGGTGTTTCGTTGTGTATATAAAAGCTATATTTTGCATTCATTTGTTATCATAGATGTCTTATTGGCAGTCAAACCACAGATCTCTAATTTAATACCAAACTGCTTTTATTTGAAGATTTCTTGTTTTAATTTAAGTAATACTTTCTAATACATATTGTCTTAAAAAGATTAAAAAAAATATATCCTGTCTTACACAATTTTAATAATATTCATGTGCATAAATCTGTTGTCTAATATTTTTTCGACTCTACAAAGTTAAGAAGACACTTTAAATATCACTATTTTGAACTATAAGAGCATGCACTTATTCAAAATGGTGGACATTCTACTCCATTGTACTTACCAAAAGATGTTATCCAAAATATGTGTAAACACCAATCTTCCTAAATCCAAGAGTCATGTCATCTGAAGGCTACATCTGCACTATCCAGTGTCAATAGAATTAATTGGAACTTTTGGATCTAAATCCATTGTAAAATTCATATTTTGTTCATGATAGAGACATCTTTGTTTGTTGTGTGAATGTTCATGTCCAGTTCAAATTTTGAATTTGTTGATCGAAGTACCGGTTGTTGAGGGTATTGTGACAGTGTGATCCCTTTGAAATTTGCCCCTAATTATAAATATCAATTGCCTAAATCTTGAATATTTGTTATATATTATAATAAAAAAATAATCATCTATTTTTTATTTTTTTATCTTTGATGTTATAAGTTATAATGGAAATATATATTATATATATATATATAAAAAAAGTTCTACCCTTAATTTGGCCTCAAACTCTGTGTACATTAATTTATAATACTTCCTGTCTTTGCCACTACACAGAGATAAATTAAAAACAGATGGCACTTACATTTCTATCACCAGCTCATATTACTAATTGAGATGAGAAAGAGGGCATGCAATTTTATAAATTATTTGTGTATACATAATTTTAAAATACTGATACTAGAAATTAAACAAAATGCAACCTGCAGGTGAGGCTAAATTCATTTGATGGAAAATATAAAAATAAAAAATATTGTTCATAGATAAATGTCACAAAAAAGTGACAAAAAGGCATATAATACATATAGAACAAAAATTATTATGTCTCAATTATTTAGATTAAACTTGTTGAAATAAATACCAAAGTATTCTTGAAATTCTTTCCTTATTACAAAATATCATATAAATGTGATGTACAGTTTAGGAATTCTTTATAAGCATTGTTATTTGAAGATTTTTTAAAAATATATTATTCAAATTTCCAGATATTTCTGAGTAAAATAAAGTATGACGATAACAAATTTAGATAATTAGAAGTATCCATAACCAAATGTTCAAAGAAACATGTCGTGTAATGAACCATAAATCTTAAAAAATAATCATATGTTATATTTTGAAATGCTTGAAATATTGGTGCAAATTAACTATCATGTCTGACATTATTAAAGAAACGTTTCTTGCAAAGTTGTTGCAAATAGTTATTCCTTAAACAATAAAAGAAAAGGTTCCTGCAACTTTCTAGCAAACAAACTCTTTCTTGCAACATTGCAGCAAACTTGCTGCAATTTTCTTGCAAACAAATTTTGTTGCAGTAACATTGCGAGAATGTTGCAGGTAGCTGCAACAACCTGTAACTTTCTTGCAAACGCTTCTTGCAAACAAATTTGTTTGCCGCAATATTGCAGCAAACTTTTCATTTCTGTAAGGGCGTTGGTGAAAAAACTGCCAAAATTGGTGCAATTTGGGTACCGTCACGTAAGTTGCACATTATACAAACATTAATATAATTTGCACTAAAGAAAGAAGATTTCAAAGGAATAGTGTATATGCCAATTACTAACTTTGTTTCCAAATTTTATTATTATTTTTTTTTTTTTTGCAAAGAGAAACATATGCATGGTAAAACAAACTGTTTCCCTGCCTATTCAAAGCAAGGGGAAGAGCATGGTGTACCGGTATTGTGTGGAATCTGACAATTTACATCGTTAGTTCATTAAACATTTATGGTAAAAATGGGACTCCACAATAGATTATTCGAAGAGATTTGCATAGGCAGGCAGGGATACAGTTTGTACTTCATTGTACCTTGGTTTTGTTTTCCTTTGCAATGAAATATCTTCAATTTGAAACAAAACTGGTAATTAGAAAATCGAAAATTTAACAAAATACTAAAATACAAAAAAGGCAACAGTCACAACGTTGATAGAGATTTGAATTGCATAAAGACAGAAGCAACATGCGAGATGGAAGAAAAAATGTTGTATAGTAAACTAGAATTTAAGAAGCGAACATAAAACAATATCGGTAGTCCTTAGCATATAATTGTATCATTTTCGATACACACTTTTTTTAATTGACTCAAACGGAACCAGCACTATCCTTTAACCTCATTTCCCGCTATTTAGATGATGTTTTCTAACTTTCGGATCTATCATTGGAATGGGACCCGGTGGTCCAGTGGTCTAAGTAGTTCGTCTACAGCGATCACTAGCCTCTTAATACTGAGGTAGTGAGTTTGTACCCCGCTCGTGACTGGTGCTTTCTACTCCGATCTTACTTGACCAGGATTATCAGTTTTCCTGTCGAATGTCGGTGATTCTCTTCGGAGATTTCTCCACCAATAAAAAATAGCCGCCACGATATACCCAAGAGATCCAAAAATAGCATTAAACCAACACACGAGCAGTGTCACGTAAGATCTTGGTGCAAACGTTCACAAAGCTGTTTATGTCACATTCGATATCTGGACAGTTTTCTATGGCAAGATTTGTATGATCCATTATAACGTACAGTAGTTCAAACGTGGATGACGAGAACGGATTGTATAGAAGAACATAAGTTTAAATTCTAAATATATTTAACACTGTAGTCCAAAAGATGTCACAAACATCTTCAGTTGCTGTACAATATAGTTTACGAGGAAAATGTTCAATGGTGCCCATATAAGGAGTATGAAACTTTCTGTAAATTGACATGTCAGCTTGAGGTATGCATGTTACCAGTTTTCTAAGAGAAAACGCATTGGAAAGGTCGACAATCGTTTTACCAGCTATCCATCCACTGAAAATTCCACCAGTATGTAAACGTGAAAAGCAAACAAAGTGTCACTATTACGTTCCATACGCATATGGCATAGGGAAAATAAAAACAAACAAAATAACAAAAAACAGCAAAGAAGCATATACAAAACAAAACACCAAACAAAAAACAAAAAACAAACTTTTAGATATTTATATAAATATAAATCATTAATATTTTAAAACATGTTTCGATAGCAAATCTATTACCCGAAAATGCACTGCACTGTCACTACAAACAATTGTACATTATGTATTAGCGCTTAGTAATAATAAAGTGTTTTTTTAAGGAAGGCGTTGTTAACCTCGGCAAAATTAGTATTTCATAATATAAACAAATACAACGTGTCTTCATGATCCAAAAATATTTTCATTTGCAAGAAAATTCAAATCTCAATCGTCAGTTTTATAGTGAGCATAAACCATGTAAATATGGAATCATC